GGGGCAACACCATCTGGGTCTTCATATCTTCGAAGGATATGTAAACTTTAGTGGAAGCATGTGGCATCCTTATTTGATTATGGAAAAGTTTGACTACCAGTCCTTCATCAGCTTAAACAAAATATGATGAATTCAGCACTTTTTTCAGATTCGCCGGTAATTTCAAAAGCCTACTTAAAAATCGAAAAATAGCAACAATTTTATCCTGTAGTGAGGATACCTTTTTTATTCAAAGAGCCATTAATGACACTTTGTTTTAAAGTTACTAGTCGAGGTATCCATCGTGGATCTCCCGAAAAACCCGGAACCTCCTATCAACTGGAAATCTAAGCATCATCTACGATCCGAGAAGGATGAGGGGAGAGATATGATATTGAATGCTTAAAATATTTGCTTAAAGTACCTTTGATCTTATGGCGTCTGGATAGGCTGAGAGGAGAGCTCTTTTGGCGGAAGTTCGATGTGGTCTTCAGAGTTGGATCCAAAGGTCCGAACCCATTCTGGTCAGTTCTCGTCGTCCTCAAGCCCGGCACAGGCAAATCTTCCCCTCGGACTCGAGAACCGGATGGGCCCTGAGGCCTAGACTTGGCCAAACTAGCCAGTGACACTTTAGAGGGTTGGATTAAAGTGCTGGTATCCTCTGCCTTTGAGGCCTTATTTATCACATCACCGGGCCTCCTATCAGCCGGTGGCGCCGAAACTCCTGTTTGAGAGGGGTCTACCTGTCCATCCTCTTTGGTTATTAGCTTGGCTGGCGTCTTTTCATACTTCTTAGTGAAGAATCCACTGAACGAACTGCCGCTTTTATTGGAGTTCACTAACGTATTTTTTAGAGTTTCCTTCTCCAAGGGCTGCATAGAACTTGCGGTCGAGTCCGGTTTTTTCTGTCCAGGAGACAGGGCTTTGACCAATTGGTCAGCAGGAGCCGTTTTTGCGGACAAGTGCTCCTCTGCAGGGCTGATGACGCTTGACGGCGTTGCGGATTTAATTGTGGGGAGTCTGGAGGCCACCATGCCGCTGTCTGTCAGAGGGAGTAGGGAGCCGGACTTAGGCGCTGAGGGGCCGCTTCCTGTGGCCAAGCGGCTTTCGGTACCAGGAGGTTCCTCGATCTTCTTTGCCTTGCTCTAGCCGAATGGACAATATTTGAACGAACAGAGTGGATGAAGTGGAAACTTGCTTAGCGTTATTCAAGGGATGCCTTGATTAGAGTCTCTTGTAAATATGCAAACAATACCATCTGATAGATTATAGAAGTTACTTTTGCCTCTTTGGTAACAATGAGCATCATTTTCGTGTTGTGCTACAGGAACTTATTGCGACCCCACTCATGAGGCATTTACGAAGAGGAGAAACTGAGTTTAGAAGAATGCCTTTATGATTAATTGTGATATGACTTTTAATTTGTAAAGAAAAGTTGGTTGAAAGGACTTCGCGGGTTGGTTGCGTCGGAAACCAAAGGAGAATAGCAGTGAAGTAGAGGCTGCTGGATTTTTTCAAGGCTTTGACTCACCATCGGGTACATCTAATTAGCAGGGAAGTGAGCTGAGGACTTCTCCACACAATCCGGTAGTCTTCACTCCTACTCCTTCGGTCTCCAGTGAGACTGTTTCATAAATTCTCTCGAAATTAAAAGTCATGCCAACATTTATGAAAATGCTGGATTTTACAATGAGACTCACTGTATCGTGTACCCACAAAATGCGATTTTATTCAATCTGGATTGCAAGTTCAACCTCGCTTTATAGTGTCATTATGAATTCCGACAGGATTCGAGCAGTGCTTGGCTCTCGGCCACCCAGAAATTACCTGACAAGCACGGTTTTCACGACAAAGTTAGCCTGTTGGTGGGTACCTTTGTGTCGTGTTTACCTCCAAAACCACATATCCAAGCCTCGAATCATGTTTAAGGAGCGGATTAGACTAGGTTGAGGCTAATAGTCTAGATGAAATTTCTCTTTT